TTTTTAGCGGTTCTGTGCGACGTCGTGTAAACACACGCAAAATTAATATGTATTAGTTCCGGATTTCTTTTGAAAGCTTTCTGCTTTGGACCCCGTGTGATAAGGTCCAAGGAGAGTGCAGGGAGTGCAGACTGCACTAGATGACACCCTAAGAGGGGGTGACACCACTGTTTCCCAAACATCTGCCTTTGGGCAGAAACGGGCTGTGGCATTCACCTGTGTTCCCTTTAAAATGCTGAAAAGATGGGGTGAGGGGGTGATGCTGATCCAAATCAGTTTATAAAGATGATGAACAATATGGGCCACAGGAAAGAACCCTAAGAAGCCCCCAAGTCTCAGAACTACAGAAGTAACTAATCATTTTAAAATCACTTTCCAGGCTTTGGATCATAATATGATGAGTTATTCCTAGGTTCCATTTAGTAAATACTTCACAAACATTCCAAGTACAAGATTTAGAGTCCTCCTTGGGTATTCTAGAAACAGACACTTTATGGATCTGAAATCTTTAGTTTAGTTTTAGCTTCAAAATAACATCTTCAAAATGATCCGACCTAGGTTTGTTAACTTTGATTCTGTCAGCACCTGTGTCTTTCATAGCTGCTTGCCATGCAGAAGCAAATGTTTTCCTTGTCACATTAGCTCCATACCTGGGGACATATTTCTACAAAGCAAACCATTACGGACATCATTATAGACACAAGCAAAGTAAGTGTCAATCCTAAGATTGCTTCTTGGAAGAGAAAGCCATCAGATGTACTCTGCATTGTACCCAAATCTCACTATTAGCCTCCTGCTAACTCATTTCTAAAAAGGAAGAAAATATATATTATTCAACAAAAAAAATTGGGAATGGAATACCACCTACTTTGGTTTCATAACCTTTGGTTTGGCATACCTCAACCCAGCCAGCATGGCTAATGGTAAGGGACGGTGGACACCATAGGTCCTAAATATCTTCATGCTCCAAACTTCCCCATCATAGGCTTCGCTCATTGCAGCCCACATACCATCCACATTTGTCTTTTTAAACCAAAAACTTGCTTTGGGTAGCAGCAGGTTCCACATTTTAAAATCAAAATAATTCCCCAGGTACTTTTCCCTGTTAAAAAAAAAATCTGAAATTCCTAATTTGGTTCCCTATCTTGCGTGGTAAACTAAATTATTCTCACGAGCCCTTCAGGGCATATTGTCAACACAGACTTACTGCAGTTATGCACCATATCCCAACCATTAATATTGCTTCCAAATATAGTGTATTGACAAGGTCCTGTACAGTGTAAATCCTAGGGACATTTGATCCAGATCGTTAAAACCAAGTGAGGGAAGCAAAGAACAGATCAGGTTACTAATTCAAACAAGCAATGAATTATTCATTTCATTATTAATTCGACAGTCCTCCAGCTATTTTTCCCCTCTCAGATAAGCTGCATTGAGTACACTTTTGCTATTTTCTGGCACTAGGTCCATTTCTCTTTTCATAGCTGTGTCAAAGGATGCAGCAGATGCTCCTGAAACACCTTGTGACAATAACATTTTTGTGCACAGCGAAGGGGATAAACGCCAAGAAAGGTAAGGTAAAGCATTTTGGGACTGTGTTCTGGGACAATTGCAAGTTCGTACTTGCTTTCTAAGTGGAACTTCTTTGCTTTCCATGTTCAGCTAATGTACTTCAGAATATTAGCCATCATGGGCCATCTGAAATGTTCTGTGCACCAATGATACTTCTTTTGCACATCTTTTAGCCATCTGCTTCATGTATAGGTTGTAAAGTAGGACTTACAAGCACAATCTCACAAACATATATATCCCGATCTAAGGGTCCAAGTGCCATCAAATGCACACATGGATACCTGGCACATTTCAGCTACCTCTGATTCATTGAATGATGGCAGTAGATTCTCATGTGCAAAGGAAATTTGCACAACAATCAATATTCCTCTGCTGGAATGAATGGGGAATCCTAAGTACACAAAGGCTGTCAGGTCCATAAGAATTCCTTGGATCAGGTGGATGGACTGAAAGCCTTGAGCCACTTCTTTTGGGATTTGTTGTTGCTGTGTGCCTTCAAGTCATTTCAGATTTATGACACCCTATCACAGGTTTTGGGGGGCTGAGAGTGTGTGACTTGCTCAAGGTCACCCAATAGATTTCCATAGCCAAGAGGGAAATTGAACCCTGATATCCAGAGTCATAGTCCAAAGTTCAAACCACTACATTACACTGGTTCTCTTTTTTTGGAAAAGTCCTAGTGAAAATACTGGGCACTACAGCAGAGTGGTTGATTTGAAAAGTGAGGCTGAAGGTTAAGTGATTTGAACAGAGCTACAAATAAGATGTGTTTGTACACTTAAAATGATATTTACATCAATGAATTATAACTATCTTACTTCCTACCCCACACCTTGTTTATTTCATTACTCATAGGCTGTGGATAACTAGAAGGCCAGTTTGAGTAGAATTATAAATAATGGCAGAAAAATGTGTGCAAAGAAAGGTAGTGAATAGTGTTTTCTAAGTGAGATTATGAGAGAAAACCTATGAACTGCCTCCAGCAAAAAGTCTGAGTTCCATGGACCTGCCGACAGCTATATGAAGAGATGGTAGTCAGTTCTAAAGTGCATATCGCTCTGCCATACATCTTTTCTTGGCAAAGAACTTCCATTTATTCACTGATGGAATCCGACTTTAAGAATCCATTTTTCTAGACTTTGTTTTTGGCAAGTTCAGTTTCTGCTAATGAAAGGGGGATGAAATAGAAAGAATCTCAGTCCCTATATCTGGTGTGTATAATATGACATATACCAGTTCATGCATTAAACCATTTGGGAGTACCGATATTTGGGTCCTAAGGACTAGATGTTATTTTTTTTAAGATATCACGTATCTGCTACCAAAAGGCTGCGATAAATAAAAGTAACTTCCTAAAATGCTATTAGAAGGAAAGACTGCAATTTAGTATGTCAATAGTTGAAACCAATGCACCCATTTCCATGGGCATAGTCCTATTGACCTTCGTGGGACTGGCCCTGAATTAAACATATATATGGTCTACAGTCCTATAGATAATGTCTTGAAATGTATATGGCCTAAGTAGAAGCCTTGCTAGGAATGTTGACATAACCTAGAGGAAGATAATGTGCAATTATGTATTATGTGTGAAGGATCTTATGTGATGTTTAGATATTACCAGTTGTGTGTTGTTAAATTTTGTAGAGCAGCTCCTCACCAAAATAGTCCTTACACTATAGTTACATAGTGTTACATTACTCTGTATCATATATATATATATATATAT